TCCAGAGCGCCCAGGAAGGAACAGAGCCCCTAGGCACCTGGACTCCATCCAGCGGCACCCGTACTGACTTCTGACCCCACAGAACTGTGTGATAATACATTCGCATTGCTTTAAGGCTTCAAGTCTGCCATAACTTGTTACGGCAACGATAGGAAACTATTACAGCGCATAAACATGATTTTTTTTCTACTTCCTTTGTTTTTGATAATAACTATTCAGAGAATTGGTGTAATTACTTGAGAACATTGAACAGATGAGAAATAGTTGACAGAAATTTGCAACTCCTTGTAAGGAGAATATTGAATAATTAACACTTATCCTGGGTTGTCCAAGAAGCATTGCAGACATTTAGTACAAGAAAGCTTTAACCTATTTCCAAACTAAAACAAGAAGGGTGAATTTTGGCTATTAAAACGAAAATTATACATATACGTGTGGAATGCTCATGGAGAAAGAGTAAGAGTTGACGATGAATAGGAGCAAGGAGAAAAGAAAAAGCAGCACGGAAGTAAAAGAAAATAAACCCTCCTTTTCGGTAAGGAGCCCTGTTGGCGCAATGGTTAAAACGCTCGGCTGCTAACTGAAAGGTCAGCAGTTCAAACCCACCCAGCGGCTCCTCTGGAGAAAGACCTGGCAATTGGCTCCCGTAAGGATCACAGCCTAGGAAACCTTACGGGGGGCAGTTCTGCTCTGTCACATGGGGTCGCTATGAGTCAGAATTGACTACAGCAGCCAACAACCACAACTCCTTCCGGGTAGTGACGTCAGTGAGCACGCATGACAGAAGAGGCCAGTGGGGGATGCCCTGTGTGAGGTGGTTCTGGGCAAAGAGGGCTATGCTGACAGCTGTGGACACGGGCAAGGAAGAGGAGGAAGTCACCTGCTCGTCCTTCCCTTGGACAGAGACCAGAGGGTTCTGAGTTTCAGACCCCAAGAATGGAAGCAGCTGGTGATGTCTCACTCCAAGGCCCCCCAAGGGCTCTGCAGACCTGCCCCTGGACACACAGCCCTGGGTCCACTTTCCAGTATCTGTTGTGCGTGGGGGCCGTGCGTTGGGGGCCAACTAGATGACAGCTAACCATATTTCTTCAGAAGGAAACATGCAACCAGGAAATGTGAGGGAACTTGAATACTAGCCTTCAGCCAAACAGGCAAAGAGGGAAATCCTACCTTTAAAAGCAAGTGGTTTGCTACTCCCACAGCTAAATAGAAATGATTTTTAAATTAATTGTGCTGTGGCCTGGAGATATTCCACTGTGTTATGGATTAAATTGTGTCCCCCCAAAATGTGTGTCAACTTGGCTAGGCCACGGTTCTCAGTATGGTCTGGTTGTCCACCATTTTGTGATCTGATGTAATTATCCTATGTGTTGTAAATCTTAACCTCTATGATGATAATGAGACAGGATTAGAGGCAGTTATTGTTAATGAGGCAGAACTCAATCTACAAGATTAGTTTGTATCTTGAGTCAATCTCTTCTGAGGTGTAAAAGAGATAAGAGAGCAGAGAGATGGGGGGATCTCCTACCACCAAGAAAGAAGCTGGGAGCAAGTGCGTCCTTTGGACCCAGGGTCCCTGCACTGAATATCTGCTAGACCAGGGGAAGATGGATGACAAGGACCTTCCTCCAGAGCCGACAGAGAAAGAAAGCCTTCCCCTGGAGCTGGTGCCCTGAATTTGGACTTCTGGCCTCCTAGACTATGAGAGAATAAATTTCTCTTTGTTAAAGCCATTCACTTGTGGTATTTCTGTTATAGCAGCACTAGATAACTAAGACACACTGCTTATCTGAATTGGTACAAATCATTGAATTCTTCACGTTTAGAATGGATACACGTACGTGGTCCAAACGGTCTTTTGATATACCGAATGCTCCTTGATAACTCCCAGAAAACCTCTCCTGGAGAATGGCACCACTGGCCCTAATGAGGAGAACTGCTTTGTCTCCCCTGCTGTGATCTCCT